TGGAAGCCACCTAGATGCCCATCAGCAGACGAATGGATGAGGAAGCTGTGGTACATATACACCATGGAATATTACTCAGCCATTCAAAAGAATTCATTTGAATCAGTTCTAATGATGGATGAAACTGGAGCCCATTATACAGAGTGAAGTAAGCCAGAAATATAAAGACCAATACAGTATACTAATGCATATATATGGAATTTAAAAAGATGGTAACGATAACCCTATATGTAAAACAGAAAAAAAGACACAGATGTACAGAACAGACTTTGGGACTCTGTGGGAGAAGGCGAGGGTGGGATGTTCTGAGAGAATAGCATTGAAACAAGTATACTATCAAGTGTGAAACAGATCATTAGCCCAGGCTAGATGCATGAGATAAGTGCTCAGGCCTGGTGCACTGGGAAGACCCAGAGGAATGGGATGGGGAGGTGGGAGTGGGGTTCAGGATGGGGAACACATGTAAATCCATGACTGAGTCATGTCAATGTATGGCAAAAACCACTACAATATTGTAAAGTAATTAGCCTCCAACTAATAAAAATAAATGGAAAAAAATTTTTTTTAATTAAAAAAAAAACAAACTACAGTAAGAGAGCTGTGAGTTTCAGTTTTATTTGGGGACTTACTAAGGACTAAAGCCCAGGAAATGCCCCTCGGAGAGCTCTGAGGAGCTGCTCCAGAGAGGGCCGGGGTGAGGAGGTCAGTAGATAATGTGATTTTGGAGAAGGGTTACGTGCAGTCAAGCAAACATCTTGGTAGACGGTTACTGTAAGTCACGAGGCATGGGTCTCTCAGTTAATGATATTACTGCTTTTCTAAGTGTGGGAAGATGCAAGAATCTGGATTTATGAAATTTCCTCCCAAAATATCTATCTGAGGGCCTGTTCTGCAGTTTTCCCAGAGCAAAATGCCTCATCACTGGTCTTCACCCTGATTTTTCCCCGAGTGTGTTGCAGGTCAGTGGGAGCAGTGGCTAGTGACTAGATTCTTGTAGAGCTAGGTGGTGGGTGACATTCCTTAGTCGGCAACATCTAGGTAGCAATCTTTTGCAAGAATGTAGAACTTAACTACATTTATTACATGTTTTGTGCTAAAAAAAATTTAAATGAATTGTGCCATGAATAAACAAATAGCATCAAAACTACACATTCCACTGGCTTGAACCACAGATGGATTAGGCACACTATATGCTAGTTTGCTGTTCTACAACATTTGAGATGGCTTAGCCTGGACCTGAGGCTGCAAGAAGACTTTTGAGGAACAGGCAAGGAAGTCAAATCACTGGTATTTCAGGGCAATGCTGAATCCATCTCTGTTGGAACATTTACACAAAGATGTATAAATGCACTGGGTGGTTTTGTCATGCTTGTGAAATTGGACCTTTTGGAAACTCTTTTGGCAAAAAATAATTTGGTCTACATTTCAGAAATTAAAAATATGGCATACACTATGTTTATAAACTTGTAGAGTTGAAGGAATTTCAGACTATTTTGTCTGACAAAACTTAATGAAAATAAATCAACACTGTGCCATTCAGCTTTTACAATAGCAATATTGTGAATGAAGACTACTGAGGTTTGTTACTGACTCTCAGTGCTGTGTGGTCCTGCAAACCAGTGATGCCAACAGTGAAATATGGCATACACTATGGGATCATTAACTCAACATAAATTCATTTGGAAAGCTTCTATCTTCTGATGTAATTATTTTGTAGAACAAAGATATGTAAATAACACACTTTAACTTATTTCAACTACGTTTAGCTATAGACACATCAGAGATTTTTTAAAGATAAATAACAGGAAAATTTTTATGTCAATAAGTACCGCAAATTAGGTAAAATACACCATTTGCTAGAAAATTATCACTTTCTAAACCAGCTTTTGAATAGATGGAAAACAAGAATAAACTTGTCAGTGTGACAGATAAATAAAGGGAGGCAATTAAACATCTATTCTGCTTTTCCCATACAGGCTCTACCTCAGAATATCTGAATAGAAGTTGAGGGCAAATCTCTCTTTGCAGAAGTAGCCTAGGTAATCAATGAAGAAAGATTGGCTGAATAAGATTACCTCATTTTGTATGCCCAAGTGAACTGTTCGTCAGGACTGGCTAAGATCACAAAAACAGACAACCAACTATTAACATTTGAGGGGCATATTTAAAAGTTTAGATGTCCCTAGAAAGTAAACTTGAAGAAATGGAACCTGAAACTGAGCATGCCACTTGGTCCAAGTTCCTATTGCACATAATGATCTAACTGCAAGCAATGACAGAGGGATTTATAGTGTTGTAAGGTTCAGAAAACTAAGATGGTGGAAAATAATCTGAAAAAAAAAATGTAACTGAATCACTTTGGTGTATACCTGAAACATAATATTGTAAATCAAGGACACTTTAATTTTAAAAAATTGTGAAAGTCTATGACATAGTTCTTAACAAAGATACTATTAAATGGCTGCTTTGTACCAGGCACTATGCCAGGTGCTGGGAGTATGAAGAGGAATAAGACAGCCTTCCTACTTTTGATGCATTCACTCTAGAGGAGATATACAAAGCATTTGTGATAGAGCACATGGTACCCTGAAGCTCAGAGTAGGTGCTCAATCAACGCTGAACCGGAATTTTTATAACACTTTACAGTTTACGAAGCACTTTCATGAACATTATCCTATTTGAAACAATGAGGACCATAAAGTTTTCAAGAATAAAGATCTCAGGCATTTAGCAGAGGGAGGGATGATCTTTTGTGATTAGTAGCTATGACTTCATGGGAAAGATCAAATATGAGATGAATGAAGGGATAGGCTACTCACTTCAGTAATCTTGAGCTTCTCTTGTTGCTCAGTTGGTAAGGAATCGGCCTACAATTCGGGAGACCTGGGTGTGATCTCTGGGTTGGGAAGATTCCCTTGGAGAAGGGATCAGCTACTCCCTCCAGTATTCTGGCCTGGAGAACTCCCTGGACTATATAGTCCATGGAGTCAGAAAGAGTCCGACATGACTGAGAGACTTCCACTTTCATACTTTCAAAACACGGATGGATTTTGACAGGAGTGAAAGATGGGAGAGTGGGAGTTTTAGATAAATACATCAGCAAAAGCATGTCCTCAGTAATTCCATATTGCTTTTTAATCTTTGTTTATGAACGTATAAATTGCCTCTGGAATACTGCTGAATCTGCATGTCTGTAATTTTTGGAATCTACCCTTACTGCCCTTTGAAAATCTGGAAAACTTTTTTTTCCCCATTTTTAATTTTCCTGCACATGATTCATGAATTCTGATGATTACTAATGGAGATTATATTATTCATTTAATTACAGATACTTATTGAAACCCTGATACACTCAAGGCCATGGCCCTGGAAGCATGGGGACTACTAAAAGGAACTATGTATACAAACAACTACCCCACAAAGCAGAAATCTGTAAGTGCCTCAGCTGAGCTGAAGCTGGATTTACAGGAGGGCTGAGAGGTTTCTGGAATGTTTGTTTCAAGTTCTTCTCCTACAAGTAACTCATCTGACCTTGGAGATTTCACCTTAAAAAAATGATTAACTTTTTAAAAACAACCTCCTCTCCCAGGCTACTCTCAGGGTTTGCTGAGAACGGTTCAACTTGAAGGTCTTTATCGGAAGATTGAGGCAATTTAGGAGCTGGTAGACTGCGTGTCTCTCTGCCCTCCGGGTTCAATACTCACGGTACATTGTCTCCAGAGACGCTTTCCTCAGGCCTACACTTTCTTGTTCTGAATATTCTTTAAAGTATCTTTTATTGTGTTTAGCATATTTGCAAGAGCCACCTGCCTTTAACCTTTAAAGTAGCCTTAGGCAGGAAGGCTCAGGAAGAGTTATGGCTCTTTGTGACGCACTATCCCATCCTTACCCCATCTTGCGGGTTAGTTTGTCTAACCCTCAGGATGGCCCTGAAGGATGGAACATCTTATCCACGTAAAAGTGTTCTGGGGATTCTGATCCTCTAAGAGAGTAATTTATCCAAGGTCTCAAGAGCTCAAAAGTGGTAGACCTTGGATTTGAACATCGCTATTTCTGACCTCAAAGCCCATGCGTTCCCCACCACGTATTAACCACGATGAAGTGTATTTTTAAATTCATCTTCCTGGTTTTGTAAAACTCTTTTAAAAAGCTCTCAGTTCGTCAAAGTTTCCTGTTCAGGCTCATGGATTTCAGCTGCTCAACGAGCATTTATTTGCCACTCAAAGTCTGGGAATATCACTTGCCTTCTCCGGTATCCTCGTTCATTCATTACTGTGATTATTTATAACTTTAGAGTCACAGTTATTCTTCTTTGTATCTGTCTATTACCATGTTGAAATTTCCTACGGTCCTTTTTTTTTTTTTTTTAACAACTGTTGTAATTCTCTTTTATTCTATTTTTTGAACTCCAAGATGGCCATCTCCCACTTTTTTTAATAGGCAGGAGAAGGAGGGAGGTGCAGAAAAAAAAAGAGAGAGTGGTATAGTTAACTGGGGATTGTTTTATTGTATCTTTTCGTCAGACGTTCTGCTGTCTTTTAAAATTTAATGTCCTCACTTGGGGGACCCTAGACGCCAACGAAGCATTAAGATGAAGACAAAACCTGGTCAGTAGGTAAAACGAGGCGCAGAGCCCCGCCCCTAAAGCCAGAGCCAGGGGGCGGGGCGGAGCGCGGGCAGGGGGCGGGGCGGAGCGCGGGCAGGGGGCGGGGCGGAGCGCGGGCAGGGGGCGGGGCGGAGCGCGGGCAGGGGGCGGGGCGGAGCGCGGGCAGGGGGAGGAGCTGCGCTTAGGGCGCGCGGGCCTTATAGTCACCCGGAAGGCGCTCGGGGCCCGCGGTGGTGAACGCAACAGACCCTCGAGGGAACCCGGGCCCTGCGATCCCCCTGTGCCTCTCCTTTCCGCAGACCCGCGCGGCGTCAGCTCGCCCGTACTCGCCGAGCGTAACCCCGCGGCCGCTGCCGTGCGGCCTGCGTCGCCTCCCGTAGTTCCCCGACAGGCTATGGCCGCCCGCCTCCTGCGCGTCGCCTCCGCCGCCCTCGGCGACACGGCCGGCCGGTGGCGGCTTCTCGCGCGACCCCGCACGGGAGCCGGCGGCTTCCGCGGGAGCCGAGGGCCGGGCCTGGGCGGCGGCGCGGTGGCGACGCGAACGCTGAGCGTATCGGGGCAAGCGCAGAGCAGGTGAGGCGCGCGGGGTGGGGCGCGCGAGGGGGCGCGCCGAGCTCGTGGGTGCTCTGGCGGCGGCGCCTCTGTCGCCTGCAGAGGTTTCCAGTTCTGTCGTCCTCTCCCGGGCGCCGGCCTGCGGGCCACAAGCCCAGCCCCGCTGCCTTCTCCTGGCCCCGGGCTGGTCGTCCCGTGCGGTCGCTTCCTCCGTGTCGTCCGGTTGCCAAGTTGCTTCTCAGGTCCACCGACGCTTGGCGGGGGACGGGGGCCTGGGGCCCCCGATTTCCCTGTCCCAGCGCCCCCTGTGCCCTCAGGGAAGCTGGCAGTTTGCTGCTGCTGGTTCTCCGTGCGGTTTGGCGTGGATCTAACCTTTGCCCTACCGGAGACCGCGGTGAACCTCGCGCCCAGTTTGTGTCGCGGCCGGGGCTTTCTTCTGGCCTCTCTTCATCCTGCCGGGTCTGGAAACGTTCTGTCTCCAAGTCCTTGTCCATTTAGGGTACACCCGCTCGTCCCCGAACTTCCCGGTGTGCTCCCTCTGGTGCGTGCTAAGTCGCTTCAGGCGTGTCCGACTCTTTGCGACCTCATGGACTGGTGCCCATCAGGCTCCTCTGTCCGTGGGATTCTTCAGGCAGGAATACTGCAGTGAGATGCCATGCCCTTCTCCACTTCCTCTGGTTGCTGTCGGATTAAAAAGTCTGCGTTGGACTGGCAAGCCAGGGTTTTAAACTGGGCTTTGACACTTATTATCCAGTTTGTCTAATGTCTGTAACTGGGGGGATAAGAGTCGTGTAGGCCTCACAGGACTATTTAAAGAAACCAGTAAGAGCATACACATATTGTAGGGAGTCTGGAGGGCTCGGTAAATCCCACCTGTTAGCCTCAGCCGCCTCCTAGGCCCACAGCGTTGAGTTTTGTGTACGAAATGTCGAAACAGATGTGAAAAAAAATTTGCCCAGAATATGTTGCAGTTTTGTGTTCTTGGGTAGATTTGTTTCTCAAAGACACAATCCCGTTTAGATACAATAGAGATAAAATGTACTCATAATTTCAGAGTATAGCACTGTGGTGGATGGAGCCTTAATATAATGTAGGTCTGAACAGCTCTCTGACCTGCTGTCCTGTAGTAGGAAGCAGGGAAAAACAGCTGGGTTTGTGTTCCTCTCTAGTTTCTTCTTTGTGAAGTTCCTGAGAATAGGGTGTGGGACCTACTCATCTTTTTCCCCTTAATCTGTGAGGTAGTGGGTGCTCACTAAATTTTTGTTGTATGAACTGTGGAGGAGATAATGAAGGCAAGCTGGGGTTATTTGTTACTTTTCAGTCTTTGATGTCCATCTGCCTGGATGCCTTGTTGCCTTGTTTTCTACATTGGTTGCTTTCTTGAAAAATTGTGTGTAAATTGGGACTCTTACTGAACACATTTATGTAACTAATATTTAAAGGAACATGAATGCTTTTGTGAATGGAAATTATCTCCTCCAAGTTACTGTTTGATTTGGTGTATCAGGTTGTCATAAAGGGAAGCACATCTGTTTTGTTCCCTCTTAAACCTACTTTCTGCCCCATTGGCACAGTCTGTCAATGGCCTGTGCTTCCTATCACAGACTGGAGCTGCAACTAAATTTTCCAGGCTATCCAGTATGGTCACCAGTAACCACATGTAGCCATTTAAGATAATTAAAGTTGAATAAATGAAGAATCAGTTTCCCAGTTCCACTGGCCACATTTCAAATACTGGATAACCACACATAGCTAGTAGCTACTGTCTGGGACATCAGTTATATACAACTCTAGAATATCTTTGTTATTGTTCAAGTTTAGTTGGACAGAGCAGTCTAGAGGCTGTAGTTCTGACTTTGAAGTTTAACATTTAAGTAAACTTTCAGTAACTGAGAGTCAAAAAACTCCTTTAACTCTCAAAATGCTGTGTCGTAGTACTTTACATTTTGTAGTGATTTCGGTTGCAAAGGGCTCACTTGACCCTTAAGAAAATCTCCTGAGGCAGGTAAAGTAGATAAATGAGAATAAAAATTTTATGTTAAGTAGCAGGCAAAACTGGGACTAGAACTCACTTAGTTTTTGTTTGTTTTTTGAGCACCATTAGAGTTGATAATTGTTTAGCCCATAGGGTCATTTAGAAGAGTTAAGGTGGCTCTGGAAGTGGGGCACTCTAGATGGGGCCCTTTTCTTGGACCAGCTGCCCCAGACCACCCCACATAGTGAAAGGGTGAGCATTAGCAGCCATAACTCCCCTGTCTATTAGAAGTCTGTTAAGAGCTTTATCACAACAGCCACTGACACCTTGGTTGAGATAGCTGTGGTTCAACAGAATAAATGGCAGTGCATGGTACATAAAGGGTAACAGTTGAAGGAAGTAGTTGTTTGTGGTACTGGTTGATATATTGATGATGATAGAGGATTTAGAGGGATCATAGTTATTTTCCAGTACCTGAAATCTTGATCTTCTGGGGAATAGCTAAAAACTTCTTGCTAGTTCTTAAAATTGGGGAAGAGAAATCTACAAAACCCATCAGTACCAATTGTTAATAATGAATAAAGTTAGTTGAGTAAAGTACACATGTATGATGCTTTTTAGGGAATAAAATGTTTCCACAAACTTTCTCTCCTTTAATTCTCTCAGCAGCTTGGTGAAGTCTCCGTTATTGCCACTTACCCATGGTCACCTAATGAGTATGTTGGAACCAGGGCTGGAGTTTATGTCTTCTGACTCTTATATTCCATACTTTCTCAGCTGCACAGTTACTTTTACTCTGTCATTTCTTCTTTCTCTCCCATCCTTTGGCAAACCTGTTATTACTCTTAATTCTGCAGTTTTTTCTGGGGCTGAACACCTTTAATGGATTCTATCCCTGGGTTGGGAAGACCCCCTGGATGGAGGGCATGGCAAGCCACTCCAGTATTCTTGCCTGGAGAGTCTATAGACAGAGGAGTCTGGCGGGCTGCAGTCCATACGGTGGCAAAGAGTTGGACATGACTGAGGCAACCTAGCACACATGCATGCACACCTTTAATATGTAGCAGCAGTTCAGGCTCCTTAGTAGCAAAAGGACTGGGACTTTAAATAAAAGTTATCAATCAGTGTTTGTTGAGCTCTACTCTGTTAGGAATTTTCCACATGTTACCAAAACTGTGAGATAAATGATACCCTGATTTTAAAGGAGAGGAATCTGTGTCAGAGTTGAAATTCCTTTGCTGTTGCTTCTCTGGTGACTCAGTGGAGAGAATTCGCCTGCCAGTGCAGGAGACATGGGTTGGATCCCTGGAGAAGGAAATGGCAACCCACTCCATTATTCTTGCCTGGGAAATCCTATGGGCAGAGGAGCCTAGAGGGCTACAGTCCATGGGCACAACTTAGTGACTAAACAACAATAACAAAGCTTAGCTCTAGGGTGCGCCAGAAGGGCAGCAGTCCCCAAACCTCCAGCCTTCAGTAGTGTGTATAAACTATGGAATTCTTTCTGTTGTACTTATTGTCGCTTAGTACCAGGCATTTTTTGATGTCAGATCTCTAGACTTCTGTGGATTTCAGACACATATTTCCATCTGGCTTCTGGACCTTTGTTTTTTCTATTATTATTATTTTTTTTTTATGTTCAATAAGATAAGTTTTATTTCTGATGATAAAAGTACTCAGTTTGGTGAACTAGGAATAAAGATTTTATAGATTTAACAGTTTAATGATTTCAAAGATTTAATAATCACTAGTGTTAGCACATCAATTTTCTATCTTTAACTAAGCCTATCATAACTTTCCAGGTTTGTTGGAAAGGCAAATCATTCAATATCATGGTAATCCAAGCCTATACCCCAACCAGTAATGCTGAAGAAGCTGAAGTTGAACGGTTTTATGAAGACCTACAAGACCTTTTAGAACACACCCCCCCCCAAAAAAAAACACACACCCCAAAAAGATGTCCTTTTCACTATAGGGGACTGGAATGCAAAAGTAGGAAGTCAAGAAACACCTGGAGTAACAGGCAAATTAGGCCTTAGAGTACGGAATGAAGCAGGGCAAAGGTTAATAGAGTTTTGCCAAGAGAATGCACTGGTCATAGCAAACACCCTCTTACAACAACACAAGAGAAGACTCTATACATGGTCATCACCAGATGGTCAACACCGAAATCAGATTGATTATATTCTTTGCAGCCAAAGATGGAGAAGCTCTGTACAGTCAGCAAAAACAAGACCAGGAGCTGACTGTGGCTCAGATCATGAACTCCTTATTGCCAGATTCAGACTTAAATTGAAGAAAGAGGGAGAAGCACTAGCCCATTCAGGTATGACCTAAATCAAAACCCTTATGATTATACAGTGGAAGCGAAGAATAGATTTAAGGGACTAGATCTGATACACGGAGTGCCTGATGAACTAAGGATGGAGGTTCGTGATGTTGTACAGGAGACAGGGATCAAGACCATGCCCATGGAAAAGAAATGCAAGAAAGCAAAATGGCTGCCTGAGGAGGCCTTACAAATAGCTGTGAAAAGAAGAAAAGGGAAAAGGAAAGATATTCCCATTTGAATGCAGAGTTCCAAAGAATAGCAAGGAGAGATAAGAAAGCCTTCCTCAGCGATCAGGGCAAAGAAATAGAGGAAAACAACAGATTGGGAAAGACTAGAGATCTCTTCAAGAAAATTAGAGATACCAAGGGAACATTTCATGCAAAGATGGGCTTGATAAAGGACAGAACTGGTATGAACCTAACAGAATCAGAAGATATTAAGAAGAGATGGCAAGAATACACAGAAGAACTGTACAAAAAAGATCTTCACGACCCAGATAATCACAATGGTGTGATCACTCACCTAGAGCCAGACATCCTGGAATGTGAAGTCAAGTGGGCCTTAGAATGCATCACTACAAACAAAACTAGTGGAGGTGATTGAATTCCAGTTGAGCTATTTCAAATCCTGAAAGATGATGCTGTGAAAGTGCTGCACTCAATATGCCAGCAAATTTGGAAAACTCAGCAGTGGCCACAAGACTGGAAAAGATCTGTTTTTATTCCAATCTCAAAGAAAGGCAATGCCAAAGAATGCTCAAACTACCACACAATTGCACTCATCCCACACACTAGTAAAGTAATGCTTAAAATTCTTCAAGTCAGGCTTCAGCAATACATGAACCGTGAACTTCCAGATGTTCAAGCTTGTTTTAGAAAGGCAGAGGAACCAGAGATCAAATTGCCAACATCCACTGGATCATCAAAAAAGCAAGAGAGTTCCAGAAATACATCTATTTCTGCTTTATTGACTATGCCAAAGCCTTTGACTGTGTGGATCACAATAAACTGTGGAAAATTCTGAAAGAGATGGGAATACCAGACCACCTGATCTGCCTCTTGAGAAACCTGTATGCAGGTCAGGAAGCAACAGTTAGAACTGGACATGGAACAACAGAATGGTTCCAAATAGAAAAAGGAGTACATCAAGGCTGTATATTGTCACCCTGCTTGTTTAACTTATAGGCAGAGTACATCATGAGAAATGCTGGGCTGGAAGAACCACAAGCTGGAATCAAGATTGCCAGGAGAAAGATCAATAACCTCAGATATGCAGATGACACCACCCTTAATGGCAGAAAGTAAAGAGGAACTAAAAAGCCTCTTGATGAAAGTGAAAGAGGAGAGTGAAAAAGTTGGCTTAAAGCTCAACATTCAGAAAACTAAGATCATGGCATCTGGTCCCATCACTTCATGGCAGATAGATGGGGAAACAGTGGAAACAGTGTCAGACTTTATTTTTTGGGGGCTCCAAGATCACTGCAGATGGTAATTGCAGCCATGAAATTAAAAGATGCTTACTCCTTGGAAGGACAGTTAAGACCAACCTAGACAGCATATTAAAAAGCAGAGACATTACTTTGCCAACAAAGGTCCGTCTGGTCAAGGCTATGGTTTTTCCAGTGGTCATGTATGGATGTGAGAGTTGGACTGTGAAGAAGGCTGAGCTCCAAAGAATTGATGCTTATGAGCTGTGGTATTGGAGAAGACTCTTGAGAGTCCCTTGGACTGCAAGGTGATCCAACCAGTCCATAGTCCTGGGTGTTCATTGGAAGGACTGATGTTGAAGCTGAAACTCCAGTACTTTGGCCATGTCATGCAAAGAGTTGACTCATTGGGAAAGACCCTAATGCTGGGAGGGATTGGGTGCAGGAGGAGAAGGGGATGACAGAGGATGAGATGGCTGGATGGCATCACTGATTCGATGGACATGAGTTTGAGTAAACTCCGGGATTTGGTGATGGTCAGAGAGTCCCGGCGTGCTGCGATTCATGGGGTCACAAGGAGTTGGATACAGCTGAGTGACTGAACTGAACTGACTGATCATAACTTTTGATAGAATTAGGAGAACATTTATTTGAGGTATAACATAAACCATAAAATAAACTGATAGATATAAAATTCAATGATTTTTAGCAAATCTTTAGGGTTCTGCAGCCATTACCATATCTTTGATTTGTCCAGCCATAAACACAATCCAGCACTGGAATAATTTGTTTCACCAGACAGTTTGACATTTTACAGTCAGTCCCCATGTCCAACCCTGTCCCAGGCAACCACTGATCTGCTTTCTGTCTTTATAGATTTGCCTTTTCTGGGAAATTTATGTATTGATATCTATATAAAACTGGGCTTATTTAACTGAGTGTAAATGTTTAAGGTTCAAACGTGTTGAAGCATATGTTTTTTCTGTCAGTTCAGTTCAGTCAGTCAGTCAGTTCAGTTGAGTCGCTCAGTCGTGTCCGACTTTTTGCGACCCCATGAACCGCAGCATGCCAGGCCTCCCTGTCCATCACCAACTCCCGTAGTCTACCCAAACTCAGGTCCATCAAGTCGGTGATACATCTAGCCATCTCATCCTCTGTCATCCCCTTCTCCTGCCCTCAATCCTTCCCAGCATTAGGGTCTTTTCCAGTGAGTAAACTCTTTGCATAAGGTGGCCGAAGTAGTGGAGTTTCAGCTTCACCATCAGTCCTTCCAATGAACACCCAGGACTGATCTCCTTTAGGATGGACTGGTTGGATCACCTTGCAGTCCAAGGGACTCTCAAGAGTCTTCTCCAACACCATAGTTCAAAAGCATAAATTCTTCAGTGCTCAACTTTCTTCACCGTCCAACTCTTATATCCATATCAAGCAGGTCGAAACTTGAACTCATTTCCAGTCTTCCCCAAAACTCCTTCTCCTAAGTTAATCCTCAGTTAACCTGTACTCCCCATTACCCAGGCAAGAAATTTCAGTGTTACTTCCTCCCTTTCCAGAATCTTTTGATTCTGCCTTCTGAATATCTCTTAAATTAGTATCTCCTACACTGTTGCTTCGTTTATGCCCTTTCATAAACTAGACCAGCGGGTCTCCCTGCCTCCAGAATATCTTCATTCTTAGTCATTCTTTGAAAAAATGCCAGTTGTCTACTTGAAAATTGTGCATGTTTGGGAATACTTGCTTTAAAGCATTTTTTTTTTCCCTGTGAAAAGAAGTTGGAGAGTACAGGCCCATTTAAGGGACATTCTCTCTCAACACAATTCTGATCAATTTTAACAGAATCTTTTTTTTTAGCATTGAGTAATCAGGGAAGACATTATCTGATAAGGCTGCAAAATGAGATGACTGATGACTGGACTTGGTAATTTGCATGATATTTATAGCTCTGAAATTATACAATTCTAGGTTTTACTTATATTAAAGTTTTCTTTGATGAACTATGACTCTCTATTGGGAGTGGTGAAAATTACAACTAATTATTTTAAATTGAAGTACATATTTTCAATTATGAAGTAAAAATTAAAATGACCAGTGGTGGGGAGGGTATTATCTAGTTGATAGTATGATTTTCCTTCCCAAAATTTGGACTCATATTTGAGAGAAGGGTAAGTACGTTAGCAGACTGATGATTGACTGATAGATATCCTATAATAATGAAAAATATAAGGAGGGTTATGTTTATCTTCCCACAGATTTAAACAGAGAAAACCTTTTTTCTAATCCCTTTGGTTTTTTGACCAAAATGAAATGTTCAACTACTCAAAGCTATCAAACTGCTGCCTCTTGCTGACTGTATTTGTCAGATACTTGCGTAAAAATTGCCTTATCAGTAGTATGGTGATTTGTGTTTAAAGCTCTCCACAGCCCTCATCTAGTTTTTAGGGACACATTCATAGAGATGTTGGTTTTCAGAGGATCTGTGTGAGAGCAAAACAGGCTTCATAAGTGATAATGATTGCTAATGATTTCATATAACTGTGGCTGATGGTGACGACTGGGGAGACATACTTCAGATGGCCTTGATAGTGACATACTTACTGTTTCCTTTAGGGTGGCAGAACTTCCCCTCGGGTTGGTGGGTAGAAAGTTATGCCTCTGATTTCTGGTGTCTCCTTCCCAAATAAACTTTAGAAAGAAAAGAAAATCCTATAAAGGAGAATATTTGCATGCACACAGACCCACACACAACCTAATTATTTTACCTTACGGGTTCTTCAAGCAACTATTTTAAAATTTCTTGAAATTACTGAAAGTAATAAAGGACTGTTTCCTTTTCCAGCTCAGAAGATAAAATAACAGTCCACTTTATAAACCGTGATGGTGAAACATTAACAACCAAAGGAAAAGTTGGTGACTCTCTGCTAGATGTTGTGGTTGAAAATAATCTAGATATTGATGGTTTTGGTGAGTATGGAACATTCCTTAAAATTTATAAGTGAAACTATTAAATAGGTTTTAGCTTTGTTTTTTTTATTTTTGAAGAATTTTAACTATAGCATGCTAAGTGAATTATTAAAATTCAGGATGCTTTAGTGTTATATTCTCACTTATGAAGAATAAGAGTGACACCGTGTATCTGTTCTTTGAACGTTTAATTAATTATATGCCCTAAAGTCTGTTGCCTATTACCTTATTGATTATATGTGTGATGCAAAGCTGGGAGTAGTGCGTGGAATTGAAAAATACCAGGGACGCTGTGGGAGAAAGGTGAGGGTGGGATGATTTGAGAGAATAGCATTGAAACATATATATTATCATATGTGAAATAGATCACCAGTCCAGGTTCGATGCATGAGACAGGGTGCTCAGGGCTAGTGCACTGGGATGACCCCGAGGGATGGGATGGGGAGGGAGGTGGGGGGGGCACTTAGGATGGGGGACACATGGCTGATTCATGTGAATGTATGGCAAAAACCACCACAATATTGTAAAGCAATTAGCCTCCAATTAAATGAGTTAAAAAAGAAAATAACAGATTGAGATACTAAATGTCATATTACAGAGGCTTATGGGATCTTAGTTCCCCAACCAAGGATTGAACCCAGGCTCTTGGCAGTGAAAGTGCCAAGAGTCGTAACCACTGGACTGCCAAGGGAATTCCCAGACTGGTATTTTCTTAATTACATTGAACTTATGCATTCTTTTTAAGTGAGTACTTTTTTATTGAGCTGTAATTGACATATTAGTTTCAGGCATACAACATAGTGGTTTGATACTTGTAAGTATTGCAACGTGATACAGAACACCGTAAGTCCAGATGGCATTCATCACCATACACTGAAGACCTCTGCGGCTCAGGTGGGCTTCCCAGGTGGCACCAGTGGTAAAGAATCTGCCTGCCAGTGCAGGAGACGTAAGAGACACAGGTTGATTCCTGGGTTGGGAAGGCCTCCTGGAGGAAGGCATGGCAACCCACTCTAGTTTTCTTGCCTGGAGAATCCCATGGACAGGGGAGCCTGGCCGGCTACAGTCCATGGAATCTCAGAGAGTCGGACACGACTAAAGTGACTTAGCACACATGCCCTGTACAGACTGGAATGTCAACTTACTTTCCTTCAAAGGGTAGTTAATCTCCTTCTTACTAAGGAAGTGTTTTGTTTAGGAAATTTTCACTCCTAGACTTTTCACCTTATTCCTTTACCACTCACAGAAAGCCCATATCCAGGAAACTGCCATCTTAGACCTCAGGGATACACTCTATGTCACTTGCCAGTTTTGCGCGAGCATTCTCTCTAGTCTAGAATGGTAGTTCTTTAAGAGGGTTCCCTCTTAAGAGGGAAATTCACATTCTCAGGCCCCACTCTGGACTTCCTGAATCAGAAAGTTTGCGGTAGGGCCCAGAAATGTGTATTTTAACAAGCCTGCCATGTGATTTGATGCATGTGGAAGTTTGAGAACCACTAGTCTGCAGGAGCATATCTGACTATTTTTCATTCAAGGCACTGTTCATATTGCACTTTTAAGAACTCTTCAGATCAGAATTATTTCTTCCCTTCCATTTTCCCGTTTTATATTAAATATACTCCTCTATATTAATACTCATTTCAGTTTTCTTTTTTAGAGAGAATGTCCCTTCCCTTTATTAGATTATGTGCTTTTGGAAGACTCTTTATCACTCAGGTAACCAGAGTTGGCACTCAGTAATAATTTGCTAAATTTCTGAATCTAATGTGAATTACAGGGATAATTATAATTGGACCTACTACATTCCAGCATATGTTATCTGTTATTGTAACAACTCTTTAAGAGGCAGTTTTTTTTTTTTTTTTACTTCCAATTTATAGGTGAAGAAACTAATAAAGTTCAGAGAAACTTAATGTTCCCTGGATCATACGGTAGCAAGTGAGGAGGCCTTATAAGATTCAAGCCTAAGTCTCTCTAACTCCTAAACCTCGGCTTTTTCCTATAAGCCATTTTTCTCTTAAGAAGTATCTCTCCTTTGTGAACACTTGTTAGAGAAATTAGGTGATGACATAGTTGCTATAGCTCTAGTTTTAAGACATTTCTTACTCTAAAGCAGTGGTTCTTGGCTGGGACTAAGTTTCAGAATTCTTTCGAAATCTTAAAAATATGTTATGTCCTGATGGTGTAGGGAGAGCAGAAGTTGTGCAGATACCCTTTTAAATTCGCATGATTCAGATCCATACCATAGATTAACTGATTTACGGAAAGAACCCATGGATAATTTATATATATATATATATTCTGTAAAATTTGTATATAATTGAGTTCCCTCATGAGTTCATATTCAGCAGCACTTAGTTGACTAAGCTTGGTTTCTCTGAATTGTTCTCTCACAAATGAAGAGTAACACACTGCATAGTAATTGAGAATAGACCCTGGAATCAGACAGATGTGGTTCATAAACCAACATTGTCACTGACTGTTCATAATGCCTAGAGCAGGCTGCTTTATATCTGTATGCCTCAGTTTCCTCTTCTGTAAAATATGATTGTAATAGTTCTAACATCATAGAGTTGTTGAAGATTGAGTGGTATATTGGAAGTGAAGTGCTTAGCACAGTGGCTACATTGGTAAGAACGGTAGAATTTGTGGCATTTTAACTTGGCCTGCTCTCCTCCTCTCCCCTCTTCAGCAGTAGCCTTAAAAACTGGCAACCTTGCAGCCGCTGGAGGAACAAACTGATTTGACTTCCTCAGAAGCATTCTCCAGAATTTTGTCACTTATTTTGCAGCTTCTCAGAAAAGCTCCATTCCAAGGAGTTGTTTATTCGATTTGCCTCAGAGATTGCTCTGTGAGGAGGCTCTGTCCCTAAGACTTTTGTCTGAAATAATTACCTGCAGTTGTTTAACACTGTGCTGCCTGAGGCTGTGATGCCTCTTGGAGCAAACAGGAGCCTGGCCAGAAAGCCTAAAAGAAAGATCTGGGGAATGCAGTGTCTGTAGTGGGCTTTGAAATACTTTGGGGATCTGAAGGCCATGCACAAATGCAGGACTGTGTTTATGTCCAGAAAAGACCTGATAGGGCCTTAGTCTCTCATCTGTGCATCTCTGGCTGACCTTGAGGGTCCCGTGCAGGTGAAGACCAAGACAGACATGCAGAATACTTGAATGTTGAAGGTATGCGTAATCACGAACTGAGCTCCTCAGCAGAGGGTAGAAGCCTTTATTGGGTCAAAGCCCTGAAGGAAACCTCCATATAGTGATCTAGCTGACCACTAAGCTCACTGAGCAGAGACATCGCTGATCACATGCTGCTGGGATTACAGGCCTCAGATTTAATTTGGGAAAGTCAGTAAAGAAACAGATAGCTGCAAGAAAAACCGCCAAAAAGCCAGCCATGGCAACAAACCTAGGGGAGACAGTGGTGAACCTGATTTTCAGAGTTGTCATGTTATATTATTTAAAATGTCTACTTTGCAATAAAAAATTCAAGACTCCCAAGGAACAGGAAAGTATGGCCCATATTCAGGAAGAAAAGCAGTCAGTAGAAGCTGTCCCTGAGGAGTCCCAGCTATTAGACTTACCTAGACAAAGACGTTAAATCAGCTGTTATCAAAGTTGAGAGAGCTGAAGGAAAGTATGTGGGGATGTTCTTTGACCTTTGTACATCAGTATGTGTGGACTTTGTTACCAGTGTGTGTGAGGGTACATTAAAGAAGTAAAGAACATTTTTCCTGTCCTTGAGCAAGCTAATCTTTTGTGTTCTGGAAAGGCTAATGTGGAGGCTGTGATCCAGTAAATCTGTTTTTATACATTTCTCCACAGCTTCAATCTCAGCTTTATGAAAAGATGTGTATACTAGACTCTTTACTCCAGAGTTATTTGTGAGAGCAAAAGATTTGAAAGAAGCAAATGCCCATGGATAGAAGACTGATATTTAGTCATGTAAGGGGATACTATATTACTCCATTAAAAAAACAACAAGACTGTGAAAGGAGTTTTGAAAACAAATATCAGTAGTTTCCTGCTGGTAGGAGGGAAGCTTTTAATGCTATGGTATATTTAATCCATTTCTTTCTTTGAACATTTAGGTGACTTCCAGTTTTCAGCTATTACAAATACCCGTAAGGTGAACATCCCCAAGAATACTTTTCTGTGTTTGTGTTCTGTAATTTCCTTGTGGTAAATTCCTAGGGAAAGAATTACTTAGTAAAATTTGTTTTATTAACTGTTTGCTCAAATTATTTGCCTGTTTTTCTGATGAGGTATTATTTATTTTTAGCCATTAGGAAAGGCTCTTTAAATGTGCTGTTTGACCAAAAAAACTAACGAAAACGAAAATTAATTTTAAACATTTATTTGAAAGGCTCTTAACCTCTGTTTTACATGGAGCTACATTTTTCTCAAAATAATGTAAAATACTTTATTTACAGTAGATAATTTTCACGAGTTGCTTTCCATTTCTTTGAAATAAAAGCATATTTTGACCTTAATATTGAAAATATCTTTAACTTTTTAAAGTATTTTTTCTTTCATCATTCATGACTATATATTGCAATAACACTTTTTCACATTGCAGTTTGCAACCATTAGTCATATAATCAGTTTAGCTCTCAGTTACCAGTTAAAGTAATTAAAAAGAAAATATAAAACCACCATTTTTTGTATTATTCCATGAAATGCTTGTTTAACTATTTTACAAAGTGTATGTATACCAGGTTGTGATGTAAAATGGGACTCATACTGTGAGTCAAAATTTAAAATGTATATTTTTTCTTTTTGGAAAACTGTTGGCTGGAATGTTAAGAACGGAGTTCCTACCTGTGTTTGTTTCCCAGCTCTGTCACTTTGCCACCTTTGTGACCTTCAGTTAGATCTCTAATCTCTTCATACCTTGTCTCCTTAAGGGTGACATAGAAATAATGTTAGTACTTAAGTACTTTGTAAGGTTGCTATAGAGATCAAATGAGTTTATCTAAGCAAGGCAAATTAATGTTAGCT